TAGAGGACCTGGCAGACCCGCATGGGATCAGATGTGTGTTATGTATATAGGACAAAGCCTATTCCTGTTTATGTCTTGCACCTGGATGAACAATGAAGTCAACCCTGTATCATCAGGTATAAATTCAGCAGTTTCAATATGTAAGACAACTCTTGCTACATATTGTGAGTCAGTAACTATAATGAGAGTTTCTTTAAAATCCCTTAGTATCATAAAAATAGCATATAATTCTGCCTTTTGGACAGAATTGTAAGGACTCTGTTCCACCTTACCTAATTCTTCTGATTTGTAACCTGCCTTTCTTGGTGTTTTTTTTTTTTTTTTTTTTTTTTTTTTTTTTTTTTTTTGCTTCAGTATAAAATGTCAGGGCTCGAGATCCTGAGTTCAATTCCCAGAAACCACATGGTGACTCACAACCATCTATATTGAGATCTGGTGCCCTCTTCTGGTCTGCAGGCATATATGCAGGCAGAACACTGTATACACAATAAATAAATATTAAACCAACAAACAAAAACACAATTAGCCCAAAATGTATTGGGACAATTAGACATTCACCACGTTAACCATCTTTATTTGCAATCTTAGGGGACTTCTGGAAAGCACACCAGAAAAGTGTGGACATCCAGCTGTAGTTCCTGGAGTGTGTGTAGGTATGAGTCTCGTTTATTGGACACACCTATGTCAATAAGAGCATAAGGCTATGGTAGTATATACTTCCTTAAAACCGCAATGTATGAGGTTGAAGAAACAAAAGGAGCTGGCAAGTGCCCTGAAATCCCATGTACGATAACTCTAAACAGGGCTGGAGAGATAGAGTCCTCTGTGAGGACAGTATGTACTCATTAGCACTGAACCGTTTCCCAGCCCACTTTTTATTTTCTGAGACAGGGACATGTGCAGCTCAGGACAACCTCCTCATCTTCGCGCCTCTGCTTCCCAAGGGCTGGGATGACAGGCATGTCTACCTTGGTGTCTTGGTGAATCTTTCACACTCTAGGTGATTCTGAAACATGGTCAGTTTCCTGGACAACAGGATTTCTGGTTTAGAGGAGAGACTTAAATGAAACGGTACATGCAGAAGAAATCTGCAAATCAGAACATGCATTCCAGGCCTGGAGAGCCAGGATAAAATAGGCAGTGGTGGGGATAGTTACCCTCATTAGGGCATTGCAACTCTCTCTCCCTCCCTTCCTTCCTTCCTTTCTTTCTTCCTTTTGTTCTTTCTTATTTTCTTCTTCTATTTTTTAACTTTATTTACTTTTCGTGGTTTTCACACCATGCATCTCAATCCCGTTTATCTCCCCATCCTTACGTATCCTTATGTATCCACCCTTTGTAACCTCCCCCACTAAAATAAAATGAAATACAATTTAATAAGAAAGTAAAAGACAGAAAAGGGAAAATTTCGTTGTGGGAACTGTAGTGTGGCTCAGCGAGTCCCACAGTTTAACCTTTAGCCCATACATCTTTACTTGCAAATGTTCATTGCAAAGAGTCACTGGTCTGGTTCGAGGCCTCTGGTTTCTGCTGCACTGTTGATGCTGGGACTCCTCTTGAATATCCTGCTGTTGCCCTGTGTTGTGAAGATCCTGCAGCTTTATCTAGCCAGCAGATCATAGATGGGGTAGATGCTAGGGTGGGCCAGTTCAGAGCCCTGATTCTGGGTCAGGGAGGTTGCAGGGTGGTTCAGCCTGCCAGTTCTCCCTGTCCCTTACCATAGGGGTAAACCTTCCAGCATTGCTCTGGCTAGTTCATGATGCAGCAGGGAAACGGTGGTGCTGGTTCTCCTGCTTTCACACCCAGGGCCGGCTCACCCATACCTCAGCCACCAGGGCCAGCTCTGTTGTGTTGCCCACGCAAGGCCAGTCTCGTGAGTGCTGCAGCTGGTGAGAGGTGGGGCTGGCTCTCCCACCTGGCACTGAGCAGGCACGGGGCCTGCTCTCTTGAGTATTACAGCTGGAGAAGGGGCAGGGCCAGCATGCCCATGCCCCTGGGAACAGGGTCAGCTCTATTGTGCTGCCCAAGTGAAGTGTAGGATCGACTCTCCTGAGTGCTGCTGCTCGTGAGGAACAAGACCAGTTTTCCCTAGTGTTGTAGCCAGAGAGGGGTGAGGGTAATAATTCTGTGCATCCCAATCCACTCGGCCTTTGGTGGTAACAGGAGCCGTGGACATCAACGCAGACCACAGCAGCAGCAGACATGGGTCTGGCAGCAGCCCTGACCCAGAAATCACCAAAGCCCAAGGTGGCAAGCAAGCCACCTACCTAGGCCGCTCCTCACTGCCTTTACCTTGTCAGATCTGCCTCTCTCCACAGGACGTGACCATTCTGTCTCCCTCACCTCCACAGATCCGCCTCTCTCCACAGGGCGTGACCATTCTGTCTCCTTCTCCTCCACAGATCCGCCTCTCTCCACAGGACGTGACCATTCTGTCTCCTTCACCTCCTCAGATCCGCCTCTCTCCACAGGACGTGACCATTCTGTCTCCTTCACCTCCTCAGATCCGCCTCTCTCCACAGGATGTGACCATTCTGTCTCCCTCACCTCGGCAGATCCGCCTCTCTCCACAGGACGTGACCATTCTGTCCCTGCCACTCTCTTAGCCCACCCTGTATTTCTCACTGTAACAGTGCTGGGCAGGCCATGGTTTCTCCTTGCTTGTGTCTTCTCCTGCAGTCGTTATTTCTTAACAAAACTTGCCTGAAAATTAAATTCTGGTAGCTAGAGATGGATCAGTGGTTTAGAGCATTTACTGCTCTTCCAGAGAAACCGGATTAGATTCCCAGTACCCAAGGTGCAGTTCACAGCCATATGTAATTCCAATCCCAGGAGATCTGATGCCCTCTTCTGGCTTTCAGGAGTATTGCATGTGGTTCACAGACTTGCAAGCAAAAGACCTATCTATACACTCAAAGAAGTATTAATATCTAAAGATAAAAACTTTAAATTAAAGATATAATTTAATTTAAAATAAATTTACCTCTACATCTCTCAACTGAGTATGAATGCAAGGTATAAATCCTTACACAGACATTTACTATAATTCAACGTTAAATTGAAACACACAGAAAAGGGTGTTAAACTGACAGTGCTATAATCAAGGTGACCGCTGTCTCACGAGTGGGTACTTTTGAGAATGAACGGAAATGCTGTTGATATTTATATCAGGACAGAAGTAAACCTAGGACTGTCCCCAGGAAATCAGAATGAATGGTTGTTGGGGCTATAACCACAAGATCAGCCACAGCCTTGTGCGACCTGGCAACGACCTCACACTCAAGAACCCGTCAGCTGTGGTTGCCTGTACAAGATCAGGTCAGCCAAGATTCCAGCTGGAGGGGAAAGAGTTCCTAACTCCCCACCTCACTCTGAGGAGCCATTGGCAGCTGATGGGTGCTGGGGAAGGACAGTCATTGTCTTTGGGGTTGTGAAACTGTAGTTGTTCATGCTATAGAGGATGGTCCCACATCATTTGCATATGCTTGGTACTAACTGGACTCTGTGTTTTTTCCCAACCACCCGGACTGTGTGTTATAAAACATAAATAAAGGGCTGAAAAGACGGCTCAAGGGTGAAGAACACTTGTTGCTGAAGACCCAGGCTTGGCTCCAAGCACCTTCATGGTGATTCATAACCCTTTGTAATTGTAGTTCCAGGCTATCCTACCCCACTTCTGACATCCACAGGATCCAGACATGCATATGGTGCAATACATACTTGTGGGCAAAATACTCTTATAAATAAAAATACATAACTATTAAAGATATAAGTAGCTGGGTGGTTATAGTGGTATATTATTTGTATTTTAATAAATAAATCTTGTCTGAAGACAAGAGGCAAAGCTAAAGCCACAAACTGTCAGGACATGGTGACACATACCTTTAACCCCAGGATTTGGGAGACAGAGGCAGATGGATTTCTGTGAGTTCAAAGCCACCCTGGGCTACACAGGACAATGCAGAAACAAATCCAGGTGTAGGTGTCTCACACCTTTAATCCCAGTACTAGAGGGAATATAAAATGAGAAGAGAGAGAGACTTAGTCAGTTTAGTTTGTGGTCACCCAACATTGGTAGAGGTTATACTTCTCTAGTGGCATGGCTGCTTTGCTTTTCTACTTTTTGGGTTAAACCCCAATTTCTGTTTCTGGGCATTTGTTATTTGTGCTATGGGTGGTAGTGGCTCATGCCTTTAATCCCAGCACTCAGGAGGCAGAGGCAGGTGAATTTGAGTTCAAGGCCAGCCTGGTCTACAGAACAAGTTCCAGGACAGCTAGGGTTCCTGCACCCACATAGTCTCTTCACTACTGCTCTAACTCCAGTTTCCATGGGAGAGACAATCTTCTCCTTTACTTCTGTAAATACTAGGCATGCACACTGTGTATATATACATGCAGGCAAAATACAATGCACATGAAATTAAGATAAATAAACCTAAGTCTTTTTAGTTGATTGAAAAATGAGCTATTTGGTTTTTAATGACAGAAGAGTAGAGAGGTGTGGGGGGTGGGGATGGGAGAAAAGCGAGCCAGGGAAGTGGGGGAGAGGAAGGAAGAAGCAGTGTGATCCTGGGGACAAAAGAGAAAGAGGAAGGGTTAAGAAGTGAAGTATTGAGCTACTAGTGGATACTTTCCTAGTCAAGATAAAGGAAACAGGTCAGGCAAGCTGGGGATCTAAGAAGGACAGAGACAGAGGAAGAAACTGTTAGGCCAAACAGAACAAAGGATGGCTCAGAGACAGGGAAAAAAAAAACAAAAAAAAAAAAACAGAGGACAGGTGGGGGAAGTAAGAGATCTAGGGGGTTAGCACACCTCCCTAAAATGACACTTAGCCGCTCCACTCCCTCCCTGTAGTAGAGTGAACTTTGACACTTGAATCTTCTGTTATCAGACAACTGCTTTGTAAAGATAATTAGTTCAAGGTCCAGAGAACCTTGCTCTGTGTTATAGGAAGCAGGAACTCACATGTAGGTTTGTTCTTGAGAGACGGTGAGGTAGGACTGACTGTTTTCTTCTCTTTACAATATTCCCCATAAGTTTTCCTCTTCTCTGCTGTTCATTTACTCTACCCCCTCTTCATTTGTCCTTCTCTAGTCTTCCAATTGAGAGGCTCTTTAGCCTCTGCTTCCTGTTTCATTTTCTCTTGCCAGTACAAGTTCCTGCCTCGGACTTCTGGGCTTTCACATATCAAGTTAGCCTAGCTGCTCCATCATGGCAAGCCTAAAGCGGGCCAGCAAACTAATGGAGGATGTGACCTGCCCCATCTGCATAGAAATTCTACGGGATCCTGTCACCATTGACTGTGGGCACAACTTCTGCCTGCAATGCATCAATCAGGTTGGGAAAACTACAGAAAACCTCCAATGTCCGCTCTGCAAACTCCCTGTGAATAAGAATATGTTGAGGCCCAATAAGCTGTTGGCTAGTATTGCAGAGAAAATCCAGGCTATGGATCCTGCTGAGTTCCAAACAGAAGAAGAGCCAAGATGTCGGAAGCACAAAGAAAAGTTCCATTATTTCTGTGAGAAGGATGGAGAGTTCCTCTGCTTGGTGTGTCGTGACTCCAAGGACCACAAAACCCATGAACTTACCGTGATAGATGAGGCTGCCCAGCACTACAAGGTAGGCACCTGCCTCCTTCTCTGTCCCCAGCTCAGCAGAGTAGAACTCCCTGGGGACCTGGGAGCTGCTGCCTTTTCCATCTGGTTGGCACTGACTGCTGCAGTCTTAACACTTGAATTGGCAGTTTGCAGTTGGGCCCAGTGAGCTCAAAGACCCAGGTTCTGGGAAATACCAATCTGTAATCAAGGTAAGAATAATAATCAGAATAGTACTTTGGGGGCAGGGGAGATGATTCAGAGACTAAAGGCACTTGCCACCAAGTCTGAGGACTTGACTTTGACCCTCAGGATCACATAATACAAGGAGAAAATTGGTTTGATCCCTGAGAAAGAAGGGGGGCTGCTAATAATGACATCAGTACCCTGGGATATCTTCCCTGTCTCCCTAGAGGCAGAACTTGACTGAAGCATCCTCTCTCTACAGATGCAGATTGAGACACAGCTCCAGCATTTGGGGCAAAAGGACAAGGAAATAATTAAAGAGAAAAAGAAAGGTGAAGGAGCAATCCAGGTGTTCAGGGTAAGAAATATTTACTCTAAACACTTCTGAGGAAGTTGAGCATCTCTGTTGAGAGAATGTTGAGCGCTCCTTATACACCAGGCTGGAACAAAGTCCTGCTGACAAGATGGCGAGGGCAGAGCAGAAGGTGTGGTGCCTGAGCCGTGCTCCTGAGCTGTACAGACCTACCTGCCTGGGTGCTGCTCCAGTGAACCAGGAGGGCTTCTGCTCCTCCACCCACAGCAGATTTGTAAGGACCACGCGCGCGCGTGCACACACACACACACACACACACACACACACACACCTAGCTCACATACACAGACACACAAATACACACACAGGCACACACACACACACACACACACTAGCTCACACAAACACACACACACACACACACACACACACTGGCTCACACAAGCCCCTTTTTACTAGAGACTGATCACACAGTAAGAAAAGACAAGAGACTATGACACCACCAAATGTCTCCACCTGATTTTGATATTGTTTACTTTTTAAAAAGGTTTCTGCATTACTTTTATCTATGTGTATGTGTCTGTGTGAGTGAAAGTCATGTGTGTGCAAATCCTAGCAGAAACCAGAAGAACTGGAAGTACAGATATTGTGAGCTGCTCTTCATAGGTGCTGGGAACTGAATTCAGGTCCTCTGAAGAGCAGTAAGCATTCTTAAGCCCTGCATCATCTCTCCAGCTCCATCCATGGGAAATTCAGTATGAAGGCAGCTAAACTGAAAAGAGCTCTCTCTCTCTCTCTCTCTCTCTCTCTCTCTCTCTCTTCTCTCTTCTCTCTTTCCTTCTCTCTTTCTTCATTTGTGTATGTTCTTCCCCATTGACTTTTAAGAATATTTTATTTACTTATTTTTAGATTTAATTTTATGTGAGTGAATGCTTTGCCTCCATGTATGTATGTATACCAGGTGCATGTCTGGTACCCATGGAGATCATGGAGATCAGAAGAGGGCACTGGATCCCTGGAACTGGAATGAGGATGGTTGTGAGCAACCATGTGAGCTCTGGGAATTGAATCTGAGTCCTTTGCAAGAGCAACAAAGTCCCTTACTGAGCCATATCTCCAGCTCCTAGACACAGTATCATATGTAGCACAAACTAGAAATTGTTATACAGAAAAAGGATAGCCTTCATCATCTGACCCTTTTGTCTTTCCCCCAGTACTGGAATTACAGGGCTATAACAGCATTCCCAGACTATGCAGTGCTGAGAATGGAATCCAGGACCACACACATGCTAAGCAAGCACCCTGTCAACTGAACTACAGCCTTATCCTGGGTTTTCTATGGTGATGTTGTTTGTTTGTTGAGAGCATGGCCCAAGTAGTCCAGGCTGACTTTGAATGGAGACTGGCCTTGGCTTTCTGCACCTCCTGTCTGCACTCCCAGTATTAAGATTTCTTAGTTGTGCATCTGGCTGATGTCCTTGAAGGTATAAAAAAAGTCATTGAGCCTAAATCCTTGAACACAGGAAGAGCTTTGATCTCCTGCCCCTCCCCCTTTCCCACAGGTAAGCTCCAGCAAGCTGTTTTTAACCGGTCTCAGAATAGTCTTTACATACTCCTAAAGAGTGAATGGTGTCAGATGGTGCATGCCCTGGATTCCAGCACTTAGGAGGCAGACACAGGTTGCTCTCTAGGAATACAAGACTAACCTGTTGCTCTGAATGAATTCCTGACTATCCAGAACTATATAGGGAGACTTTGCCTGCAATTAGTTAATTGATTAATTGGTTGATGGTTGATTGATTTAACAAGTGAATGATGGGCTTAAAGGAAGCTTAGAGGATCCTCTCTCATTCCTCCCTCATCTCTGCATCCCTTCCCTTATCTCCAGGCCCAGGTACATCTAGAGAGACTAAAGATCCTTGAGGAATTTAAACATGTGCGCCAGAGACTGGAAGAGGAAGAGAGATTCCTCCTGTCCAGGCTGAGCTGGCTGGAGCAGGAGGGAGTCAAGCAGATAGAAGAGTATGTCACTGACACAGACGAACAGCTGACCACCCTCAGAGACCTCACAAGGTCCCTGAAAAATAGGCTACAAGCGCCATCGATGGAGCTACTGGAGGTCAGTCCATTGGCAACAGACTCTCTCTCTCTCTCTCTCTCTCTCTCTCTCTCTCTCTCTCTCTTTTTCTGAAAGATACTTAAGAATCTGTATTATACCATGGCCCAACAGCTCCTAGTGTCTGACTCCTCCATGTCCTTTGTCCCTTGAAATGAAATTTTTGCGAAACTCCTATCACTCCCTGAAAGGACATAAAAGTCGGATACTCTTCTTTCTCTGGGGATTTGCCTGAGGCTCTTGTCAGGTTTTAAAGTGATGCCTGTTGCTCCCCAAAAGGGTCCATTTGTATTGTCTCTGACTTACTGTACTGTTCCTCTCTAATGCTGTTCTACCCCAAGGCCCAGTGCTCACCCACCACGCCCTTTCTCCTAATAACCCTCATGTATGAGGTGTGGTTTCTTTATTACTTTTTATTGCCTTCCTGAACTAATCCACCAACTGCCGCCCTGTTTCACCTAACCCAACAGCTCTCAAGCTGTGAGTCTCGATCCCTCTGGGGGATCCACCAACCCTTTCACAGGGACCACCGAAGACCACCGGAAAATATGGAATACTTTCATTCCAATTCATAAGAGCAGCAAATTTACAGTTATGATGTAGCAAGGGAAATAATTTTGTGGTTGGAGGTCACCACAACATGAGAAGCTGTATTAAAGGTCTGCAGCATTAGGAAGGCTGAGAACCACTGAGCTAACCAAAGCTTCTCTCATAACGCAGGACACTGAGGCAGGACGGTTGTTGCTAGTCCAAGGCTAACATGAACAAAGATCAAGACACTATCTCAAACAGCTGGGCGTGGTTTCTCACCTCTGTGTAAATTCTAGCACTCCAGAGTAAGTGGCTTCCCTCGACCACTAGTGTTCAAGGCCAGCCTGGACACACACACACGCACGCACACGCACACACACACACACACACACACACACACACTACACACACATGAGAGAAAAAAAAAGGAAGGAAAAGAAAGAGAGCCACACAAATAATCTAGAGCTTTTTGATCTTGTTCTTTGAGGTAGGATCTCATGCAGCCCAGGCAGCCTGGCTGCATTAAGACAAAGGTCAAGTGACCAAGGGTAACACTGAATTACTGATCCCACCCGTCCCCTTTCATGGACCACTACACCCAGCTCACAGTTTAGAATTGTAATGTGGACACATGTCCTTCTTTAAAGCATCTCGCAGACTCAGTGTGCAAAGGCGCTTGCTTGCCACCAATCCCAAGACCCACACGGTGGAAGAATGGGGCCAATTCCCACAAGCTTTCCTCTGACCTCCTTCTGTAATTTCCGACCTAGATCTGATCACTCTGGCCTTGTAGGGTACCTGCATTCTCATTTACATGCCCCCACACAGACACACATATATACACAAATTAAAAACAATAAAAATAGGGCAGGAGAGATGGATCATTGGCTAAGAGCGCTGTCTTAGATTTAAAATAGTAAAAATTAATTGGTGGGAAGGACTGAGGTGTTAGTGCATTCCTGTCCTCTCAGCGCTCACAGTCAGACACAGAAGATTCGGTAGTTCAGGACTGTTCTTGGCTACACAGAGAATTCGAGCCCAGCCTGAGATACATTAAACTGTCTCAGATAAAAACAAACAAACAAAACCAAGAGGGAAGAATAATAGGACACCCAAGTGCCAGGACTAACACACCTGGTTTCTGTTTTGTTTTTGTTTTTTCTTTAAAGAACCACGGACAGCCACTTCACCTTTGTCCTAACACTGCCAAGTTGAGCTCCCTGGTTCTGTATCAGAGGCAACACCCGTCTCCCAAATGTCACTCTTTCTTCTCTCCCCACTCTGCGTCTCCTGAGGTTTAAACACTATCCCAACTATACCAGGAGTTTTAGGGGTAGCAGTTCAGAATGGAATGGGGGGGGATAGAAAAGAACAGGAAGAGACAGACAGAAGACAGACAGAGAGACAGACAGATAGTAGAGACAGAAAGACAGAGAGAGGAAAGAGAAGGTGGAAAACTGGGGTGTTCTCACTCTGCCTCCAGCTGAGTCTGAACCCCTTCTCAGTGCCTATGACTCAGGCAAGCTCTGACATTGTTCTCTCTTTCTCTTTCAGGACATCAAAAACACCTTGGGCAGGTATGATGGGCATCCCAAGTACACTGTGCTTTCTGGTTCACTCATATATACAACATTCAACATATATCTGAATATGTTCACATCCTCCAATAACTTGTCTATAAACTCTTTAGGCTGCAGGTGGAAAAGACCAAGCTGGCTACAGTAGCATGTGGTCTGCTGGGCACAGCTCTTTTCACCAACACCCAGCTTTAGAGCAGCTGCACTCCCCTCCCATATTCCTCTTGGTCAAGAGAGTGAACCCTGGATTTCCTACTCTACCTCCTACTCCCTGTCCCTTTTCTCTTCTCTGGTCCATCTCCCATCTTCATTTCCATATTTTCTTGGGTCTGATCCCATTCAGCCCTGCATTCCTGTACTGAACCCCATTGCTGTGGGACAATGGTCTTATATCCTGCAAAGTTTGATCAGTTGTAGTAGTTTAATAAAATGCTGTTTGGCCAGTAGCCAGGCAGGAAGTAGAGGCGGGGCAAACAGGCAGGAAGTAGAGGCGGGGCAACCAGAACAGGAGAATTCTGGGAAGATGAAAGACACACTCTGCAATTGTCACCCAGACACAGAGGAAGAAGATGAGAATGTCTCGCTGATAAAAGGTACCAAGCCATGTGGCTAACACAGACAAGAATTATGGGTTAATGTAATTTATAGGAGTTGATAAGAAGCCTGAGCTAATAGGCTAACCAGTTTATGATTAATGTAGACCTCTGTGTATTTCTTTGGAACTGAAAGGCTACAGGACGAGGTGGGACAGAAACCTCTGTCAACACTCCCTGACACTCAGTTCCCTGGCTCTAGACTGTATTTATCACTCTGCCTCCTCACCAGGAACCATCTCCTAGATCCTTCCTGCCCACACTCTATCCCTAAACTTACCACTCAGATCAACATATATTCACAGGGGTAAAGAATTTCAGTTTCACAACCCAACCCCAGTTCCTATGAACCTGGAGAAAAAAATCAATGAAGCCAAAGCAAGACACGAGTCCATCATAGAAAGTCTGAAGAAATTAACAGGTAAGATGTGACTGCCACTCCCTGTGCTTACCTGGTTGGGATTCAGTACATCACCCCAGATACTTCCTGACATCTCTAGTGTCAGCCCCTGAGCCTTTCAGAACCCAGGCTGAAAGCTGAGTACCTTCAAAGAACCATTATGCAGAAATTCCTCATGCTGTGTTGTATCAGGTTTAGTGCTAAGGATGGAACTTTGGGCTTGCTTGACAAGCAGTCTACAATCTGAGCTACATCCCCAGAGTCAAAACACCTCTGAGCTCAAAAATTTTCCTTGTTTACTAGATGGTGAACATGGGACTAGAAGTATGTTCCTAATTTGGTTGTCACTTATCACATGTACCCACCCCTGGACACCAAAATACAGCTTTCACACATAGTGTAGGTAAATAATACACATTGACTCTGAAAGACTTAATATTAAAATAGAGCATAAAATATAGAAATGAAAACAAAAGCAAACAGGAACATTGTCCAGGGTAGTCTCTTATGGAAGACTTCAGTGATCTTCTGAGTAGCTGGGTCTCCAGCACCCAGCGCTGAGCCCAAATAGCTCTCAACCTTTATTGGACATGCTGAAATGGCAGTATATTTTAACATTCTGAGCTAAAGAAAACATATTATTTAAATTCATTGTATTCGTTTCCTTTTAAAAAGTTTTATTTTTTATTTGTATGGGTGTTTTGTGTGCATGTATTGTGTATATGCCTGGGGTCCATGGAGGTCAGAAGAGGGTGCCAGATGCCCTGGGACTGGAGCTTCAGTGGATACTGAGATCTGACTGGATTCCCTGGTACTGTTAACCACTGAGGCCTCTTTCCAGCTCCCTTTTCCTTTCCTTTAGCGACACTGGAACTCACTATGTCCTGTGGACTAAAAGTTGTCATCCTGCTGTGTCAGCTTCCTGAGTGTCAGCATGCCCTGGTCCTTTAGGGTTTCAAAATAACATCTAGAAAAGCCCAAATTCAGTGGTTTATGCTTGTGGTTCCTAATACTTCTGTTCTGGACTGGGCTGTACTGGAGAGCCACATCAGGGAGACCCTAAGGCAGCTCTCCCTGTTTGCTGCCTTCTTGGTCCACTGAGACTATGAGAGAAATCCCAGTACCACCTCTTCCCACATCAGCAATTAATGCCTTACTGTGTGGTCCCTGTTGCTTGCTTAACCTCTGTGGATTCTCCATCTCCTTCACTCTGTTCTCACAGACAACCTGAACACTGAAGGGAAGGAAGATAAAAGCACATTCCTGAACAGCCTGGATGAAAAGGACAAGGAGAACTGTAAGTGTGTGCATACCCTGCTGTTTGGGGAAAGTGAAGAATACAAAATCTCTCTTCAATGGGAGATTAAGGGTGGAAGGTCCAGTGTGTGTGTTAACACCAACGTAGAAGAAGCTTATAGAATTGTTTTAATATTTTACATTTAGATAATCATAGTGACACCCCACTAATTAAGAAATGTTCAAAATGAATGGAAATTTATAGATTTATTTCTTCATTGCACAAGGCTCAGGTGGAGGCAGCTCAGTCGGTAGCTGGAGCTGACCAAACAGGCCTGGTTAGCCCAGCAGAGCTGAGGAGTTGAGATCCACTGGGACAAGACCTGTAATGATGTCATCTGATTGGTTCAGCTTTGAGGGTAGTTAGGATAAAAGCCAGAATCAGCTGCTCATCCCCAATATGACTTTTAATTTATAACCACTTGTTAGTAACGTAAATTTGTTTTCTCTCTCAAATCTTAGGGCGCCTGTTACAGAAGAATAAGTCAGAGTTGCTCAGCTCAGGTAGGATTCCTGCTTGACACACGGGTCTTTCTGTAGGGAAGCAAGGGTCCTCTAGGTGTGCAGGTCAAAGTGTTCTGTTCATTCATGGCTCTGATACAGCAGAGGAAAGTTAGAGAACAGACCCTGGGAAGGGCTACCTAACATGCAGAACACCATGATTGCTCCCGGTTCCCCTGAGAATACAGGAACAAAAAAGATTGGAAAGACGAGTAAGGCTTCCCATAGGAGGGACAGAGAAGGACTGTGTAATTGTGCAGACTTCAGGGGCCAGAGATTGGTGCTCTTAGTGTGAGGGCCAGGCATCTCCCTCTTCTGCTTCCCAAGCTATACCTTTCCTGGGAAAGGCCTAGCCCCCAACAGGGGACCCCTAATGTGCAGGTGTACCCTGCTGCTTGGTCTATGCCCCTCCTACTGCCTCTGCAGCTCAGCAGGACCTAATGCTCAGCCCTATTTCATCCCCTTCCACTTTAAGGCCTCCTTTGTGGGACAGTACCTCCATTCAGCACTGCTCTAGAGCAAAACTGAGCCCCTTTCCCTATGTTCCTGGAGGAGGAGCTAGGTGTGAGCTGGGCTCTGTGCACACTGACAACCCCAGAGTTGTGGGCTGCGCACCCCTGGGTATTCCCCTTTCCTTCTTGCTCCCCCACCCTCTTTGGTTTTTCCCTTTAAAATATTTCTTTTCTTGGTTATTATTGTGTGTGCATACTTATGCACAACAGGAATGAGAGGCTATTTTGTGAAGACCGTTCTCTCCTTATGTGAGCTTTTTATGTGAGTTTTGGCTGTAGGCAACAAGCATCTGTTTCTGTACCTGCCAAGCCATCTCGCCTGTCTTTTATTAGTTCTTTCTTTCTTTTCCTCTGGCTAGTGTTTGAGTGTGTGTGCACACACGTGTATGATGTGTGTGTCGGGGGTGCGTGCTTGCATGCATGTGTGTGTTTGGTGTGTGCTTGTGTGTGTGCATGTGTGTGGTGTGTGTTTGTGGTATGTGTGCATGTGTGTGCATCTGTACATGTGTGTGGTGTGTGTTTGTGGTATGTGTGCATGTGTGTGTATGCATGCATGTGAGTTTGTGGTGTGTGTGTGTGTGTTTGTGTGTGTGTATATGTGTACTCATGTAAGCTAGATTTAGGCATCTTCTTTCACACTCTTCCTTAGTTTCATGGACAAGATCTCTCACTGAACCTCAAGCTCACTAGATTGTCTGGGCTGTCTTGCTACTGAGGCCCATGCCCATGCAGCCATCCCTGCTACTCAGCACCAGGGTTACAGGTGTGCCAGGGCCACACCCAGATTTTATCCTTAGAAGCTGGGTATCACGACTCATGTCCTCATGCCTGCACAGCCAAGGCACCTCCCTCAGTCCTTTGTTTTTTTGTTTGCTTTTGAGACAGAATCTCATGTAGCCCAGACTGTCTTTGAACTCATGGTAGTTCTCCTGTCTCAGCTTCCCAAGTGCTGGAATTAGAGGTATATGCACCACCGTGCCTGGCAATGAGCACCTCCACCAAAACAGAAGACAAGCCCACATGGTGGTCATTCTCACCCAGTGCTGCTCTTCTCCAATTGCTTTGACTCTGATGCCCCCGGTAGACCTTAGAAATTCCTACCACTGTCTTCCTCTATGGCCACTGTCACTATCCCTCTGCCCCCAGTAATACAACTTAGCCAGGTCTGTGAATCAGAAAGGGGTAAGATCTGCTTGGATCATCTCCCTAGCCTACCCCAGTGACCCTGACCAGTTGTTCTAGTGCACACTTCCACATCCACCATCTCCCCAACCCCACACACAGCAGAGGAGAACTAGCATTGCAGCAAAGGCTGAGATGCAACACCAAATGAGGGGCGAAAATGTTCCCACTTTCTAAATCTTAGCAGAGCTGGGACCACTGATGCTCTAGCCTTTGAATAGGATGGAAAAAGAGTCTGTAGCTTTGATAAACTGCCATTCAATGTCTGAGCCATAATACGAGAGTGGGGGCATATCAGGGGTCTCTGAATATCCACTTCTTCAGTCCTCCTGTGTTTGAGGGATTACCTGCTATCATGTGCACTCATGCATGCACACACATGCCTATGTGCAGGAGTCAAAGGATGAGTGGGGAAGTCAGTCTCCCACCATGTGGGTTTCTGGACTGAAATCAGGTGTCAGGCTTGGGGGCACAGGCCATGTCAGCTGAGTCAACCCCTGGCCTCAGGAACTCAGTTTTAGAAAGTCAGGCTAGTGGTGACCCCAGCTTTAGAAAATCAGGCTGAACCTTGATCTCTCATAGTAGCTCCAATTGTCTGCCATATGAGAACCAGGCAATGTGGAAATGGAGAAGACATATCTTCATTGTTAGAAGATCCAAATTGTCCAGGGTGTTATCACCTTGTTCAAGACCTCTTCCTGAAATGATTCTACTATCATGTGGACTAGGGGAGCTTCCCTCCGCACCCACAGAAAAGAACCTCATAAAATTAAGGGCTAAGTTTGAGGCCTAGGGATGGAGTGTGGGGAGAGGTACTGGAGAGGGGGTGTAGGAAGCATGGACATGGTATCCCATATCTATAATTCCAGCACTAGGAAGGTGCAGTTTGAAAGATGAGAAGGTCAAGATCGTCCTTAGATACACAGAAAATTTCAGCCCTCCTTGATTTATATGAGATCCCCTTCTCAGAAAACAAAAAGAAACAGGTAGGAGTCTTCTCTGAAGACAGGGACTGGAATTTGAAGGAGAAATTCTTTCTCTAGCTACATCATGAGAAGCTCAAAAGCAGGGTGCTGGAGGACTTGACCTGAAACTATCCCTCTTCACTCTTCTTTATCTTCCCACAGTACCTATGACCCTGGACTCCACTTCAGCTGACCCAAACCTCACCTTTTCTCAGGATCTAAAGAAAGCAAGCTTGTATGTCATCGATGGCACATTGAATACGCAAGCAAAACCTCGACAATTCTATCCTTTCCACTGTGTGAGGGGCTCCCCAGGCCTCTCCTCAGGCCGTGTGTTGTGGGAGGTGGAAATCCAGGGACCCCCAGATAGGGTTGGCATAGTGGGTGTGGTCGCCGAGTTGCCTCGGGGGTCCCAGATTCAGAACTCTGAGTCATGCTGCTTGTGGGCGTTGCGGATCTCGTCCTCTGGATGTCAGCCAATCACCAACTGCAGTATCCAGGAGAATCTGCCAATCTGTCTTAGGAAAGTGGGCGTCTATGTGGATTATGACCGTGGAGATATCGTCTTCTATGATGCCATCACTAGCAAACACATCTACACCTTCCAAACTTCCTTTGACAGACAGGTCTTCCCCCTTTATGGGCTCCTAAAGGCCCGCAGCTCTATCACCCTGAGCCTCTAGGGATGCACCCATGTGGGTCCCTCAGTCTCTTCCCCACCCATCCCTCATGATCGAATGAGATGCAAGTGGCAGAAAGAAGCTTGGCCCTGCTTGGGCACACTACACACCCCACACACCCTACACACCCTACACACTCTACACACACAACACATCCCATACAACGTATACACCATATACACCCTACACACACTGCACACCCTACACACCCCACACACCCTACACACAATACACACCCCACACATGCCACACACCCTATACACAATACACATGCTATACACCCCCACACTTTAACACCCTACACACACTTCTTTCTGTGAGTAAAGAAGACAGTGGAATCTCCAAATACTAACCATAAGGCTTTTCATTGCTGAACTTCATAAAAGGACATGATTAGAAATGGCCAAACTTCAGCAACAGCCCATTGGGAAATATCTGGACACTCCCTGCTTGAGATGCAAGTCCAAGACGCTGCCCAGCACCCTGCCTGCCCCTTTCTCTACTTCATTACCTGCAGTTCCTATGACTCTGAACTTGAGCACCCGGCTCTGGCTCTTTCTTGAAGTCTGAGAACCAGAGGCTACATGCAGAATCAGCCAGTCCTGTGCCAGTTTGTAGACAGGACAGTCTTCAATCAGGGCTATAACCTTTTGAAAATTCAAAGCAATGTTGTCACCCTCAACAACTCTGCCTTCAAATTAAAAACAAAATTGTAAACCACTCTTCATGTTGATTTAATTTCTAATTTTGTCTTAGGCCACATCCATAGCCATCCTTGGCCTCCATTGAACCTCCAGCCTCAGACAGGTTACTACTAGAATAGATTGATAGTCGGGGAGAGTGTGAAACCACACATAAAGCATACTCCATTTCACAATTAAAATTTTAATTTATTGTACATTTCTGTAGTGTGTGTGTGTGTGTGTGTGTGTGTGTGTTTGTGTACACCCACGTGTCATGGTCTCCCTGGAAGGTTGAAAGATGACTTTTGCGTGTCAGTTCCCCTTTCTTCCTTATGGGCTCCAGGATAGATTTTTAACTCATAGACTTGGTGCAAGTGTCTTACGGATGGGTCATCTCACGGTCTCCATTTCCCATGTACATAGACATGCTTGTTAGCTTATTCTCCCTAGGGTTCCTGTAGCCCACCCTGGCCTTGAACCCTTTATGTAGCAGGGGTTGACCTTGAACTTCTGAACTTTTTTCCTCCCACTAAGTGTCTTGGTCACAGGCCTGGGCACCCAAGACTTCGGGCTTGCTAGATATGAACCCTAGTACCTGAACTACACACACCCAGTCCCATCTTTCTGATTTTTAGATTCAGAGTTACAATCCTGAATGAATCCCAGTGATGTTTTCTCTATCACATGTAAGCTGATAACTGGCACTTTAGATCATTAAGAATGTTGAATTCTCTCTATTGACTGTTGGACCGATTTACTCTGACAGTTCTGGAATCACAGCCCTTGAAGAGAGCACTTGCTTCTTCTTTTGTTTGTTTGTTTTTGTTTTTCAGGACAGGAATTTTTTTCTGTATAGCTTTGGAGCCTGTCCTGGAACTCACTTTATAGATCAGGCTGGCCTTGAACTCATGGAGATCTTGAGATCTTCCCGCATCTGCCTCCCGAGTGCTGGGATTAAAGGCATGTGTCACCATCACCTGGCTGGTGTCTCAAACTGTATCGGTGTAAATAAATGCAAGGCAGAAATTGAAGAATATATACAACTTTAATGTTTAAATAAACTTACAGAACCGAGGTTCCCGCGTAGCCGTTTCACAGGAGGCAGGAAAAAGGGACCAGCCGCCTCCCGCGTGCCCGCCCAAGGCAAACCTGCCCCCTAAAGGGGCTGGCTTAACCCTACATCTCCCCCTTTTGTCTAAATAAGACAGAACTAAACCAAATATAACTATAAACAATAATAACAAATGATAAATATAACAAACAATATTGAGAACAAAAGTTTTGCTAGACATTCTATCTCAAGGAGTCTAAATAATGTAGAGAGTAACTACAATTAAATAATCTTCAACTCCATCAAAGATCTGAGAAGGGAATAAATATTACTTAACAAATGAGAGATATCCAAAATGTGCAACAAATGACAGAGACAACTGACTACCTGGGCAATCACCCAAAGTCTCGTTTGCAATGTTGAGTCAACCAACTTTGGTTAAGGCCTAACATAACTGACATAACATTATCAAATGCAAGGAACTTTCTTAGAATTATCCTACCCTGTCTTGGCAAGATAAGACAATCCTGTTTCATATCTTAGTCAGTAGTTGAGGTATGGGCTTTTCTTAACCCAAAGGCCAGTTCTACCAAGAAGACAAGCTCCCAGTGGAGTGTCTTTGGTGCTCAACATTCTCTCGGGAGTAGAGTGGTGTTGCCAGGAGTAATTGTGTCTCGTTGGCACAGAATTCTAGGTTAGATTAAAGGCCATTTTTTACAGCTCTTCAAAGAGGCTGAAGATTATACTATCTATACTAAAAATAATCTCTATGTATCTAAAAGACCTGATTAACCTAAAAATAAATATGACAAACATATAATTCTCAACACCTATCTAATTTGAAAACTAAGAGAATAAACAACTGTGCAATATATGAAGACAATGATCTTCACCTGTAAACAATGTCATTACATATCAAATGTAAACAATGTTATTACATAATAGTACCAGAGGTAGAAATGTACATTGTGATATGATAGATGTATCCATACAATATAAGCATACTCTTATACAAAAATAGAGGAATGAACACTCACATTCAATATTCAATATATCAATATACAAGAAACAGTACCAATATAATTTTCTAAAAACAGTAAGTCACAAATACCAATCATCCCATCAAACCAGTTAATTCCCCCCCCCTTTTTTTGAATATACCCCTAATTCCATACAATATCTCCCCATCCCCTCAACCCTAAACCAACCACTAAAAGATGTCCCTAACCCTGTGGGCAAACTCTGTTGGGAGAGGGGACGTCGTCCTCTTAGGTTGCTTCTAGCTGACATGGGGGCGACGTTCTTCTTAGGGGCCCCTGTGAAAGCAAATGATGGTAAAATTCCCAAATTAACCTTTGACCTAAAAAAATTATAACTAGTCTCTGAGCGTTTTGAGAAGGTCCAGCCAGAGTGTTGTCAAAAATGTGCATCATTCGAAATTGTCTCCTGCAGTTGGTACCAAAGAACAGGTCTAATATTAGCGCTTAAAAAAAAATTCATGACGTCATAAAAACCAGATTGAGTTGATGTTGTGGGGCCCCATCTTCATCCTGGAAACTTCAAAGGTTACTGTAGGAAAATATGTTGCTTGTTATGGGAAATTTAAACATTAACAACAAGGACATATACTGACATATAAAGAAAGACACAGATATGAGGAAAGGCAAAGAAAGTTTATCAAGTATAAAATTATTCTTATTCTGTCCCATTTCATGGCTCCTGACCTGAGACAGAAACTCTGAAATATCTCTTATCAACAGGCTTGGAATTGAAGAGGGACTGAGACATAGTCCAACTCCAAAACCAGCTCTATACATTTATAAATAAGTGTTCAATAAAACATAAAAATATATATATAAAAAAATCAATACTTACAGAATGTATAGAATTTTATTGTTGATACTTAGTGGGTCATTACTATTTTCCATCCGTCAGTAATTAAATATTCAGGGTCCCTTAAATACTTTGAAGATGAGTATTTTCCTGTGGAGATAAGAAAAGAACCCTGCCCCCAACCTATCTGTAATCCTTACCATCAGATTGCCCGTCATCCTTGTGAATGAATTGTTATTTATCTTTTCCAAGTGACTTCTCTTCTTCAAACCGAACCTTTATTAATTTTGACGGTATCCATAATATTTCCTCACCTGTGGAGATAAGAGCAAAACCCCTTCCCCAACGCAGCACATCTCCTGGCTTCCATTGTGAGGTCAGCACATCCTTGAAATAAACTGGTTGATTTAGTTCAGCAGACTTTTCCATTATCCAATGTCTTTCTGCAGCCATCGTTCCCTTCTCATTAGCGTTGAGAAAATTCAAGGTTAACAAAGCATTATGTAACCTATTTCTGGGGGTGTTTTCCACCCCTTTCTGTTTGTTCAACATATCCTTTATAGTTCGATTTGATCTTTCTATGACTGCTTGACTTGTAGGATTGTATGGTATACCTGTAACATGCTTGATATTGTAATAATAAAAAACTGTTTCATTTTCCTAGAGACATAAGCAGGACCATTATCTGTCTTTATTTGTGTAGGTATACCAATGATAGCCATGACTTCTAATAAATGAGTGATTACTGAATCAGCTTTTTCTGAACGTAAAGCAGTTGCCCACAGAAAGCCTGAATAAGTGTCAATGGTGTGATGAACATACTTCAATTTGCCAAATTCTGCAAAGTGGAACACATCCATCTGCCAGATTTCATTCCTATGGGTGCCCTTCAGATTAGCCCCTGCAGGCAGTGGCGTTTGGTTATTGAAAGAGCAGGTAGGGCATTTCTTCACAATCTCCTTAGCTTGTTGCCATGTAATAGAAAACTCTTTCTTCAAACCTTTGCTATTAACATGATGTTTTTTATGAAATTCAGAGGCTTGTAGCACAGTACCAATCAATAATTGATCAATTTCTGCATTACCTTGTGCTAGAGGACCTGGCAGACCCGTATGGGATCGGATGTATGTTATGTACATAGGGCAAAGCCTGTTCCTGATCAAATCTTGAACCTGGATAAACAATGAGGTTAGTTCTGTATCATCAGGTATAAATTCAGCAGTTTCAATATGTAAAATAACTCTTTCTGCGTATTGTGAATCAGTAACTATATTAATAGGTTCTTTAAAATCGCTTAGTACCATAAGAATGGCATATAATTCTGCCTTCTGGACAGAATCATAAGGACTTTGTTCCACCTTACCCAAGTCTTCTGATTTATAACCTGCCTTCCCTGATTTATTGGCATCAGTATAGAATGTACGGGCTCCAGTTATTGGAGCATCACGGACGATTCGAGGAAGGATCCAAGAAGTTCTCTTTATGAAGTTACGCTGCTTGCTTTTTGGATAGTTGTTATTAATGTCTCCCAAAAAATTAGCACAAGCTCTTTGCCATGGTTCATTATCTTCCCATAATTTCTTTAGTTCATCAGCAGTGAAAGGCACTATAATTTCTGCTGGGTCTATGCCTGCTAGTTGACGAAGTCTCAGCTTGCCTTTTATAATTAACTCAGAGACTTTTTCCACATAAGTTTTCAGTTTCTTACTTGGTTTATGTGGTAAAAAGATCCATTCCAAGATAATATCATCTCTCTGCATTAAAATTCCTGTAGGAGAAATTTTTGATGGTAATATGACAAGAATACAATCGAGCTCTGGATTCACTCTGTCCACATGTGCCTGTTGTAATTTCTCCTCAATCATTGTCAGTTCCTTTTCTGCTTTAGCTGTTAATTCTCTGGGACTGTTTAAATCTTTATCATCATCCAAGGTTTTGTTCAAATGAATTATTAGATCAGGTGTTATCCCAATAGCTGGTCATAGACTGGAAATGTCTCCTAACAGTCTTTGAAAGTCATTAAGAGTCCATAGGCGATCTCTCCGAATGTGTGCCTTTTGTGTCTTAATTTTTTGCAAACCTATTCTATAACCTAAATAATTAACAGAATCTCCCTTCTGAATCTTTTCAGGAGCAATTTGCAATCCCCATTTGGGTAAAAGTGTCTGTATTTCTTCAGTCTGTTCAAGGTATCTATATTTGAATGAGATAACAAAATGTCTTCCACGTAATGGTATACTATAGATTTGGGAAATTTCTTGCGTATTATTTGCAATGGTTGGTTCACA